TATTTGTATCTATAAAAAGAATGTTAAACATAAAAACGTCTTAAAAATAATTGTCGGACTTTGTCCATTTCATAATATATATATATATATATATATATATATATATATATATATATATATATATTATTTATTTATTTCTAAAGAATTAATTGGTTTATTTTTAATCCAACATCTATTATTACTTCAAAGGTTATTATAGTGGATTTTTATTTAATAAACACTGTGTGCTATGTATATCTCTATCACCTTGCACTTTTCAATAAATCTCAGTAAAGAAAATGTATCCTCCAGGAGGAAGTGAAACTGCATTCCCCTTTGTAGGGGAAACTAACATTTAATGTTGCATGCTTAATCACTCATCCACAAAGGACTTCACAGTTAAGCAAGGTTATTTTTCTTGAGATCTTTATACAACTTATCCAATCTTAACAATATCAAAATAATTACAAACATATCTAAAATTATTATGGATATGATCAGAATCCAATATATCCATTACAATAGCAAATATAAATATATTTTTGACAACTGGAAAACATTCATGAAAATATATTCATTTTGGAATATATCTGATTATGCATTTTGCTGTTTAAAGCTAGATTGGATCTGAAAGCAAAGAAAGAAAATGAGATGTGTGCGTGTATATTTGTGTATGTTTAAATAATGAAATCTTATTATTTTTAAAAATACACAAATACACATATACGCATCTCATTTGGTTTTTTCGCTTTCGCCTCTCATGTAGCCTTAAATGACAAAATGCATAATTGGATATATTTCAAAATAAATATATTTTCATGAATGTTTTCCAATTGTCAAAAATTTAAAACTTTGTCAGGATCACATACCCAAATTTTAAAACATATATATATATATATATATATATATATATATATATATATATATATATATATATATATGTAATCATGTAGAAAGGACAATATGAATAAAGACAAAAGTTAAACTTATGAATATTCATCAGGTTAGATGGAAAAAATGCCAAAATACCTCCTACTCACTTTTGTTTATTAGGAATTGACCTGAATCACCTTATATCATTGCCTGACTTTTCTGTGAACATGATGAATATTCATGAGCACCCCTATATCAAAAATGTTGAAAAACCAATAACATTTTTGCTCGTGCATATAAATATTTGTCAGAAAATAAAATCCTTACATTTGTCTTGCTAAAGGACCACAGAGGATGAAACATGTTGGCTAACAGAAGTTTTACTTTTGTCTATATATATATATATATATATATATATATATATATATACATAATTAAACGTAAAGAGCCAGACAAACCAAGCGAATCATCAGGGAAGCCAGCCTTCCCTGATGATCCACTTAGGTGAAACATTGGTAGGTTTGTCTGACTATTTAGGTTTTTTATATCTTCTTTTTCCCTTTGGTTTTGGTTTATTTGCAAATCAAGACACTGAAGGTTTTCCGGACGAGTATAATTTCTTATACTTATAAGATTGTTACTAATATATATATATATATATATATATATATATATTTATTGGCAATTATAACAAAAACGTTGTAAACCAATACATAATTATGTTTTGAGACTGTATGTGCCTCCTTTTTAAAATATAATGTCTGGACATTGTTACTAACCTACCTTACACTTGGATATGTGTGTATATATATATATATATATATATATAGATAGATAGATAGATAGATAGATAGATAGATAGATAGATATGTGTGTGTGTGTTTGTGTGTATATATACATATGAAATGAAAATGAATTGAATATAAATTCAAACACTCATAACATTAGTTTAACATAGGGTTCAATACAATCAAATAGCAGAGCAGTATTCTTTATTAGAGAATATTACATTCAAACATGTAGAAACAACACTACACAAATGCACTCATGTTTCGATGTGTATCAACACATCACATTAGGTGTTAGTAGATGACTAATTATTAAAATTATTAGGATTATCCCACGAAAAAAAGAAGAAAGAAAAGAAAAAGAGCAAGAAAGAAAAACAAAAAATATAATCTCATTTTCCAGAGAAAAGGAAGAAGAGAAAAGGAAAATATAAGGAAAGTATAGAAATGTAAAGTAGCAAGATTTATTATATTTATAATCGCTGCAACCAATCAAAATAGCTTATGCTAAATAAGGTGTCATGAAACACAGATTTAAAATTGCAACGAATACAGACGTTATACTTGAAACAAAGACTTTACTACATTGTTAACATCAATCGGCTGACACTTCCTATGAGGAAGAAAACGTAATTTAATAATACTTTATAGTAAATAAATAATATGCCTCTTTAAGAAACAAATAAAGAAAAAGGAAAGAAAAATATTAAACAAAATATTTAAATAAATGGAGTAAACTAAACTTTTAGAATATAGATCATATAAAATAATAAAATAATAAAATATATAGATCATACTCAATGGAATGCAACTGTTAACTATAGGGTTTTATATAGGATATTAAAAACAAATCAATAGAAAATGTCAGCCAACTGTATATACCTTTAGACTAAATATTACCAGTAATGTTAGAACAACATACAAACTATACTATATCGAAAGGTCTAAGTAAAGATAAGCTTTATAAGTTTACAACAAGGTTATTTAACATATAAGTAGAAGCAATTGTCAAATTAAAAGTCTAGCAAGATTGCTGGGTCAAAGGTAAAATGTGTTTACAATTGACCGTTAATTCAAATCTTTGATTTAATAAATCCTCCCTATTTAAAAATCTGATTATCTGCACATTTTCTCCTGTAAACACAGAAAATAAGGTTTGTATAAGGATCTATCTATCTATATATATATATATATATATATATATATATATATATAGCAAGTAATAACGATAGCGAACACACAGCCAAAAATCACATACACATTTATTACAAAAACCAAATGCATATTAAGTACAAACAAGACGAATCTTCTCTAAGGCATATTATAAAGAAATATACTACTCCAATTGATCCGAATAAAAAAAATCAAATTTATTATCTATTATAAAGAATTTAAGACAGCCAACCTTATCCTCAAAAATAACCACACACCAGCTAAGTCAAAATTACAAAGAACGAACATTATCTATGAGTTCAAATGCCCCTTAAGGAACTGTGTTCCTGATCAAAGCGGACTCATAAATAATTACATCGGTTACACAACCACATGCTTATCCAGATGCCTTACGTTACACCTATCTGATCACAGCTACACTAGAACCCATTTAAACACACACAGAAATTTACCTGACTCCATTAGGAGCATACTAGTAGAAAACACAAATATATTGACTGCATCCATCTGCAAAAAAAGACTAAAAATAATGAAAGCTTTAATAATAAAGAAGAAAAAGCTAACTCTTAACAATATTAACTACGAACAAAGCCACAATGTGCTAACCGTATTTGAAAATTAAAAACATCCCTACCACACACTAAAGCGCTCAGAAATATAAAACATTTGGACAGTTCTTACACACTCTTTATCCAGAAAAGAAAGCTCTTGTTCGAACACAAGAAAAATTAAATAAAAAGCTTAACCGTAGTACCTTGTCTGTCGTTTTTAATGAAACCTGCATAAAGGAAGGATTGCTGCCTAAATATGCAACTATCATATATATATATATATATATATATATATATATATATCTTAAGACATGTCTCATTAAGTAATTTACATAGGTTTTGTCTACTTATTTTTAATAGGATTCTCTCATAATTACAGAGAAGTTTCTTAGTATCCTTATTAAAGGAAGAAAGAAAATTATCATGTTGATGCATATTGATTTTATTACAAGTACTTTCAACATTAGCATAATGTCATCATCTGGGTTTTGTTTTTTTCTAAGACAAAAAATTGTTGTGTTCATCATTTTCCTAAAACAAAATTGTTGCATTCATCTGAAAATTAAATTTTTACATGTGAAATGAAAAACACTAAGGTTATGTACTGTACAATTTTTAAATCTTATCATGTAGGCATACATGCAAGCGTCAAGGGAGGTAACTATGTTATTGAAATGTCTAAATCTTTTTTAAAGAAAAACTATTTAAAACTATTTGTTAAAACCTAGATATTCTAAAGTATCTACTGTAAACATTCTAAAACATTTGTACAGTATTCATAATTAATTTTATTAGGAGTTAGTTTCAATCTTTCAATATAGATAGCTTCAAGAATTTTTAGGAACTTGTCTGTAATTACGAGAGGATCCTATTAAGTAGACAAAACTTGTCTAAATTATTTTATGAGACATGTCTTAATGAAAATATGCTACCAAACTATATGCAATTTATATATAGAGAAAAAAATTATTAGATTGCATGAGAAGTTGTATAAAAAAACTAAATAAAAGCACCTTGTCTGTCATTTTCAATGAAATGTGCATGAAAGAAGGATTTCTGCCTAAATACACAAATATATATATATATATATATATATATATATATATATATATATATATATATGCATGCATAGGAATACTTATATTGTTGCACATCTTTTATTTGTGAAAAATGTTTTGTACACAGCCTTTGTTCTGTACAATTTTCCTTTGAAACACTTGTCTTTTAAATGAGTTCCTACTTTTCAATTTATTGCTACCTTTCTTGGCTTCCTTCACTCTCTGCCCTTTGACATAATATAACCAAATTTCTAATCATTCTCACCTTAGATTTTGGAGTTAAAAAAAATGGTGTTGAATTCTCAAAGTGAGACTGGATTATTTCTACACTTTTAAAGATTTGGGAAGCCATTTTTTTCCTTTTATTAAAAGGAAATGTTTCTTTGTGTTTCCTCATTCTAAGGGAATTTGGGGAAATCTAACTTGCTTAGTGGTTATCAATGAAGTAAAACTTAATGAAGTCAAATTTCCTTTGCTTTCCTAGTTATTAGGAATAAGGAAGATTTTTCATTAAATCTGAATGATGAAAATACAAGAAAAGAAGACATCACTTTTGTATTGTTTAATACTAGAAGTGTTCATGAATATGTTTTTGAATTGAAAGCCAGTTTCATTCTCTTCAGATAAGAACTAAAGAAAATAGATGGAAACAATAGAAATTGATAAGTTAATAGCGTTAACGAAGAAATTGATAGAAATAGGTTGAAAATAAAGCGAAAGGAAGAGTATGGCAAGAAGGGAAGAGAGAGAAGAATGAAGTAAGAGAGGAAGAGAGAAGAATGAGGGAAGAGGGAGAGAGAGAGAGAAGAATGAGGGAAGAGAAGAAGAATGTCAAGGGAAGAAGAGAGGGAGAAAAATGAGAGAAGAGGGGAAGTGATAAGAAAGAGGGAAGAGAGGAAGAGAGAAGAATGAGGTAAGAAAGTAAGAGTGAGAAGAATAGCAGGGAAGAGAGAGAAGAATGAGGTAAGAGGGGAAGAGAGAGAGAAGAATGAGGGAAGAATGAAGAGAGAGATGAGTGAGGTAAGAGGGGAAGAGAGAGAAGAATGAGATAAGAGGGGAAGAGAGAGAAGAATGAGGTAAGAGGGGAAGAGAGAGAAGAATGAGATAAGAGGGGAAGAGAGAGAAGAATGAGGTAAGAGGGAAGGAGAGAGAAGAGTGAGGTAAGAGGGGAAGAGAGAGAAGAATGAGGTAAAAGGGGAAGGGGTGAAGAATGAAGGAAGAGGAGAAAGATTATGTAAGAAGAATGAGGTAAAAGCAGAGGCTGAGGTAAGAATGTGGGAAGAAAGTAAGAGAGGAGATTGTGTTAAGAATGAAGGATGATGGGAGACTGAAGTAAAAATAAGGGAAGAGGGGAGACAACTAAGAATGAGGGGAGAGAAAGGGGATACTGAAGTAAGAATGATGGAAGAATTTAAGAGGGAAGACTGAGGTAAGAATGGGAAAAAGAGGAAAAGGGGAGAATGAGGCAAGAGCGGAGAATAAGAAGTGGGGAAGAGGAAGAGAAAGAGAGAAGAATAAGGTACAAGGGGAGAATGAGGTAAATATGTAGTAAGAGGGAAAGAGGAAAGTGTGAATTTAAAAAGGAGAAGTAGGTAAGTGGGGAGAATGGCATTAAAGGGGAGGAGAGGAGAATGAACAATAGTTAGATCTCAGTTTTCTGATTCTTTTTGGAAGCTACTTTACACTATACCCTTCGGAAAAGGGATGAATTCACATCTCTTCTCACTATGTCCAAATTATCTTGACAAACATTTTCATTACTGTATGGTGTTATGGTTAATACAAAGGAGAATGGATAAGTGAACATTTGGTTACACCATTCCCTCATAATTATCCTTGAAATTCAGACTGTAGGAACAAAAATCTGTTACTTAAATAGTCAAATAATACAGAAGCTAAAACATTCCACTTTTGTTTTTTTAAAAGTTGATCTCTAAGTCAGAAGAATGTTGTAATTATGCAATGAAGTTTGATCTGAAATTTTCACTGTATAACTTTTGATTGATATCATGATTACTTGTGCAATGTAAGAGATTATTGAAAAATAAATATATTAAGATATGGACTTATTGATATATCTATATAGATATATTTTAATTTCTTTCTAGACTTTATATTATTTGTACAATTCTGTATCAATAAATGTATTTGTATCTACAAAGAAAATGAAATAAACCAAAAAGAACAGATGTGAGCAAAGAGAGAAAGAGAGAAGGAGAATGGAGACAGAGAAGGGGAGAGAGAGAGAGAAATATGTCTGACATGAGACATTGCACACAAATAAGCAATGAGAACCGGATGAAACTGATGAAAGATTCTAGCAGTTTCTTCCTTGTTGATTAACACCAATTAATGGAGAAAGAAGCCTGAGACATGACTCCTGTATTTAACTACGTGTACAGAGTGGCTGCTTCCTAAAAGCTAAGTAAGAAGAAAGGAAGAAATCTGAGTGTGTGGCAAATAAGTGGAATAAATAAAAATGGCTGGAAAAGAAACAAAATAGAGGAAAAAAAATAAAGAGAGGAAGGAAGGAATAATACAATTGAATAAAGATGAAAGTTAAGAAATGTTATAAAGCAGATAATAAAAATAAATTATGGAATAAATTCTGAAAAAAAATAGAAAGAATGAAATAAAATAGCGAAATTAATTGAGTAAGGTGAAATATCATTAAGTCACATGGCCATTTATTAAGCTTTAGTATAGCACAAGACAAATAATAGTAAGATGTTCTGCAGCAATTTTTCAAATGCTTGATGTAACCATAAGTTCTATGTTAAAAGTTTCTTTTCTCACACTTCTCATTTGTGGAACTCTCTTTTCATCTTCTTTCTTTCCTGTCAACTATGATCTTCAAAAATTTGAATGCAATATGAATCATTATCTGTCTCCTTAAATACTGCTCTTTTATTGTCCTTTCTCTTTAATATTTTTCTCTGATTCTTTTACTCTCAGTAACCTCTAGCATCTTAGTGGCTTTATAGCCTTCCTTGGAGTGAAATGATAAAAAAATATGCTGAGGGTAACTGACCTGAAAATCAAAAGTGGAAATCACAATGCACATATCGACAGGTCTGTTTCTTCTGATTTTATCAAAGGTTTTATATATGTATTTTCATTACATTTCACTTCATCATCGTAATAGTGAAATTAACTGCTTCCTTATTGATGTAATGGAATAACCTGTCACCCCCATGAGTGACCACATTATAGGTAGTAATTACCTATAAGTATCTGTAAGTCAATGGACTACAGAGACTAGCTGCGACCTGTTCCAGCTAAACAGTCAAACTCTCTGCCTTCAGGCAGAGAGGAACTCGAACAAGGCTCTGCTGAAGGGTAGAGTCTTGTTCAGGGAGGTGAACTGCCCCTGAACCCATTTATATGGGTTCAAAAGGGAATATTTTTGGCCGAGCCTACAGGCTTGGAGAACCCACATTAAACTGGCCTTGTGCCACATGCAACCCCCATGGGGGTGGGTAGCTAAATATACAAGCTGGGATCTGTTGCTCAGCTCTTAGCTATTGTCAAACTCTCTGCCTTTGGGCAGAGAGGAACCTAGACAAGGCTATGCCGAAGGGCAGAATCTCATCCAGGGAGGTAGACAGACCTGATCCCGTTTATACGGGGTTATGTGGAATTTTTGCCGAGCCTATGGGCTCAGATTGCCCCACATTAAATTTTTGCCTTGTGACACATTGTACCTCATGGGGAAGTTGGTAAATATTACAAGCTGGGATCTGTTGAGTATGCCTTAGACTTACACAAGAACTACCGACCTTCTAATAGTAGCACTCACAACTGGATTGACTTGCGACGACCTTGTGAATAACTGTTACTTTTATTCTTATTGTACTGTTTTTTTTTAAATAAACCTTTACCTATGTTATTCACCTTGTTTTTCAAGTATATATTCCTATTAGCACGGAATATAACACTTATAATGAAACATTTGGCATTCATTGATTAAAGAGTGTTACTATTAGTTGAAATTTATAAAATCTTACTCTTAAAACAGTTTTCAGGAAAACAGAGGCTTCTGAAGTTCAATAACTCTTATCACTTTTTCAAGTACTGATGGGAATTTCCTTCCTAACCTTTTGCTTGAAGTAGTGTGGAAAGTCAACATCTTAATTATATCATTATTTTCTCTTCTAGCTACATGTGATATTCATTTTATTGTTACTGCTGCTGCTGGAATTTTTCAAGTGATACAGTTTCTGTCATTTGCTAAAGTTCTTTGCTTGTGATTCTGTTGTGCTACTCTATAAGGTCTGATGAAGGATTGTCCTGTTTAAGACTTACAGGATTCATTTGATTGAAGCCATTTTTAATCTGAGAAAATGATTTTATGTAGCTGATAATGTAGACATTTTGTAACTGCTTGGATGCTATGCATGATATCCATACGAGAATTTAGATTGTAACGTTTTTTTCGGAGATAATAATGATTTACTGATACAAATCCTACTAATTAACCCATAGTTAGGGGAAGAAGAGGTGGATTTACACCTTTCCCAAGGGTATTTGCATGTAAGCGAATATAAAGAACTTAACTGGAATTGGAACTTGGCTCTCTGATTTCAAATTCCATTATCCATTACATCCCTGCACATCCAAGCTTACAGCAGCTGGTATTCCCAAGAGGTTCCCCATATAGGTACTGACCAGGCTCAATGTTACTTAATATCAGTGATCTTGTAGGAAACAGTGTTTCAATGTGATTTAGTTGTAAACCAGGAGAATCTAGATCTGACAAGTCTATTTAAGAACTTAATTAGAGTTCACAGGTTTATATTTTGTTTTTATGGCATCTTGTGGTGTTTGGCAAAACTGACCCTCATAGTACAGCCCATTCTATGTTCAGTTTTCTTCCCTCCTATACTAAATTTGCTACAATTGATCCATACATTGAGGTTATTTGAAGTATTTCCACATTTTGAATTTTTATGAGGGATTCACTGTCATCCCTATTTTCATTCCAATTTATGACTGGTATCAATTCAAACAAATTTTCCAATAAAATATTTGTTATATTTTTCTGATCTGTCTGTATTTCTGAGATGAGGTATTGTAAGTATTTACACTATTTACATTGTTTGGACTGTTGTCTTCATCTTTATAAATATATTCACAATGTTTTGGCCATTGTAAGCTTCGGTCTTCTTCAGGTAATATATGTTGGAATTTTGAACTTTGTTTAGGTTACTGGGGTAGATTGTTCTAGTTTCATGTGCCAAGGTTTTCTGGATAACTCAGTTTTTTCACTTAATAAACTCAACTCTCCAAGTTTTTTGTTCACCTCTGCTGTGGCCAGGTATTGAACTCACAACACTTTGTGACAAGGCACTTTTGGATTACTTCAACCAATGCTTTTATCCACTGGGCTACATGTACTTGGGTACTAGAACAATCTATCCCATGGACTTTAGTTCGAAATTCCAATGAATATCACCTGAAGAAGGCCAGAACATACAACGGATGAAACATCATGAATATGACATTAAAGATGTGGACAACAGTTTGAGCAATGTAAATAGTGTATATAGTTACAATACCTCATCTCAGAAATATAGGCACATTCTGAAGAAGGCCAGAGTGTACAACCATTGAAACATCATGAATACGACAATAAAGATGAGTACAACAATCCGAGCAATGTAAATAGGGTATATAGTTACAATACCTCATCTCAGAAATATAGGCACATTCTGAAGAAGGCCAGAGTGTACAACCATTGAAACATCATGAATACGACAATAAAGATGAGTACAACAATCCGAGCAATGTAAATAGGGTATATAGTTACAATACCTCATCTCAGAAATATAGGCACATTCTGAAGAAGGCCAGAGTGTACAACCATTGAAACATCATGAATATGACAATGAAGATGTGGTCAACAATCTGAACCATGTAAATAGTGTAAATTGTTTTTCTGATGTTTAGATTTTTAACTTTATTAATACATAATCTCAGATTAAGAGTAATCCAACACTATTCAAAAAATTTTCCATCTTCTGATACTGTTGAACATTTTTCTATTATAACCATATATGACTTACAGCATCATGCCATAGAAAAACTGTTATATTCAATTGATTTTTATTCAACAAGATTCAATATGATGATTTAAAACTTAGTATATATTGTTCTAAACACAAAATGCTCAAAAACATCAAAATATGAAAATACTGTGAATCTTTTTGATATGTAGAATGAAGACAAAAGTAAAGAGCAAGACAGTTGAACAACAAATAAAAAAAGGTTTCTGAGTCAAAGGATTCATACATACTTCTGGTTAATGAATTAATGCTTTGAGAATAAGTATTTAACATTTTTCAACCAATGGGTTGTGTTCTTGACAGCAATAAAAAAAAAAAACATGCTTTGTGATCCCTTTGAAGTGTATATAAGCAAAGTTTATAAACCAGACAAACCAGTAAGGAATGGCATCAGACAGCAACAGTTCACAACATGGCTCAGCTTAAAAGAAAATTCTTTTACTCATTCATCTGTCTTTCACATCAAGCTATGTATCACATACACTTTCTTCCTCACTTTCACCCTTGCTTCTTTTTCTCACATATACATATAAAGAAATCACATTTC